GTTTTGTTTTCTGTTTGTTCTGTTTTCATGTTTTCTTTTTCCTGTTTTCCTGTGGGTTACTTACATTTTAGAAACTCATATTATCAATAGTGTTTTTGAGTGTATATCTTGTATAGCTTTTTAGTGCTTGCTCTAGGTACTATATTATATATACATAACTTATTACAGACTACTGGTTTCATCATTTTACCATTTAAACTGAAGTTTTGAAACCTTACCTCTCTTTGTATGACTTTACTCTCCTCCACTTATACTATAATAATCTTATATATATCCTCTACCTACATTGAGAATTGTATCAGACAATGTTATAATTTTTGCTTCAAACATCAGCCATAATTTAGAAAACTCAAAAGGAAAAGGCAAGTTTATATTGTATTTACCCATATTTTTGCTTACCATGTTCTTGCTTCCTTCTGGATGTTTTCTTTTATCATTTCCTTTCTGTTTAGAGAACTTCCTTTAGCCATTCTTTTAGGGTAGATCTGCTGGCAAAAGTTCTTAGTTTTCTTTCATCTGAAGATATGTTCATTTATCCTTCATTCTTCAAGGATATTTTTGCTGAATACAGAATTCTGAATTCTGGGTTGACAGCCCTTTTAGCATTTGAAAAATGTTGTAACACTTCTTTCTGGACTCTACATTTCCTCCATTTTTGTACCTTTTATAAATATTTTTTATTGTGATAAAATAGACATAACAAAACTTACCACTTTAACCATTTTAAGTGTTAAATTCAGTGGCAGGGGCATTAAGTACATTCACAATGTTGTACAACTATCACCACTAAACATTTCTCAAACTTATCCATTAGAAAATCAACCCCCATACTTCCCTCCCCCAGCACCTAGTAAACACTATTCTGCTTTCTGTCTCTATGAATTTGCCTATTCTAGGTACCTCATATAGGTGGCATCATAATAGCAGTCCTTTTGTATCTGGCTTATTTGACTTAGCATAGTGTTTTCAAGGTTCATCCATGTTGTAGCATGTATCAGAACTCCAAATCTTTTTTTAAGGCTGAATAACATTCCATTGTATATATATGCCATATTTTGTTCATATATCCATCTGTTGATGAACATTTGGGTTGTTTCTACCTTTTGACTATTGTGAATAACTTTGCTGTGAATATTGGTATAGAAGTATCTGATTGAGTCTCTGCTTTCAATTTTTTGGGGTATATACTAGAACTGCCAAATCATATGATAATTCTATTTTTAATATTTTGAGGAACTACCAGACCATTTTCCACAATGGCTGTACCATTTCATATTCCCATTAGCAATGCACAAGAATTTTAATTTTTCCACATCCTCATCAATTCTTTTTTTTCATAGCCGCCTACCTACTGAGTGTGAAGTGGTATCCCATTGTGGTTTTCATGTGCACTCCCTTAATGATTAGTGATGGTGAGCATTTTTTCATTTGCTTTTTGGCCATTTGTTTATCTTCTTGGGAGAAATGTGCATTCAAGTCCTTTGCCCATTTATTTAGATAGACTTATTTTTTTTTTATTTTTAACTTGTAGGAGTTCTTTTTTATATTCTGTATATTAATTCCTTTTAAGATTTTATTTTTAAGTAATCTCCATGCCCAACGTGGGGCTCGAACTCACAACCCTAAGATCAAGAGCCACATGCTCTACCAGCTGAGCCAGCCAGGCACCCCTGGATATTAATTCCTGATCAGATATATGATTTGTAAACATTTTCTCCCATTCTGTAGGTTGTCTTACTTTTTTTATAATGTTCTTTAATGCATAAAAGTTTTTATCTATTTTTTTCTTTCATTGCCTGTGCTTTTGTTGTCATACATAAGAAATCATTGCCAAATTCAATGTCATGGAGAGTGTCTACAGCGTTTTCTTCTAAGAGTTTTATAGTTTTAGCTCTTACATCTATGTCTTTGATCCATTTTGTGTTAGTTTTCATATATAGTATAAGGTAAGGATCCATATTCATTTTCTTGCACGTGACTTTCTGGGGTTTTTGTTGTTGTTGCTGCTATTGTTTATTAATGTTTCTGTGGGGGAACAAGAACTTGGAGTTTCCAGGTAGCCATTTTGCTGACATCCTTCTGGACTCTGGTTTCTGATAAGAAATCATCTATCAAATTATTTTTCCCCTATGGGTAAGGTGTTGCCTCTGTCTGGCTGATTTTTTTTCCTTTGCCTTTAGTTTTCAAGAATTTGACCATAGCATGTCTTAGTGTGGATTTGTTTGGTTATCCTGTTTGGAATTCATTCAGCCTCTTGAATTTAAAGGTGTATGGTTTTTGCTATATTTGGAAAGTTTTTAGCCATCATTTCTTTGGGTCCTTTTTCAACCCTGCCCTCTTTCCCCCTCTCCTACAGGACTCCAATGACATGAATGTGGGATCTATTATTTTTGTACCACAGGTCCCTGAGGCTCTGGTTTTTTTTAATCTATTTCCTCTTTGTTGTTTAAATTTAGTAATTTCTATTATTCTATCTTCCAGTTCCCTGATTCTTTCCTCAGTTCCCTCCATTCTGCTACTTCATTTCTACATTTTTTATTATATTTTTCAGTTTTTAAATTTCATTTGTTTCTTTATGTCTTCTATTTCTTTGCTGACATTTTCTCATATTTTTGCATATGTTTCAAGTGTGTTTTAATTATTCATTTTTAGGATAGCTGCTTTAAAATCTTCATCAGATAATTCTAACATTTCTATCATCTTGTTGTTGGCTTCTACTGTCTTTTTTCATTCAGTTTGTTATCTTCCTGGTTTTTGGTATGACAAATGAATTTCATTTGAAATCTGAACATTTTGTGTATTATGTTATGAGTCTCTGGATCTTACATAAACCTTCTCTTTTAGTTGTGACACTGCTCGCTCAGAGGAAGCTGGGGTGCTGGCTTCTTTCTGTCCAGGATCCCTACTCAGTCTTGATTGACACATTAGAGTGGGGCTTCTCATTACTGCTGGGCCATGGTTGGAATTCTAATCTTCCTGCAGGCTTCTACTAATACCTACGAGGCTGGGAAGGCTAGGAGTTATTTCATTACTTAAGCACACTATTTGGTCTCTGCTGACATAATGAAGTAGGAGGTATTCTCATTATTATTGGATAGTGATCAAACTCTTTTGACTCTCCACAAGGACTTCTCTGACATCACTCCAGCAGGAAGGGGGACACTCTGTTACTGCTGGGTGGGGGTAGCAATCCAGGCTCCACTGACAATGGAAAAAGGGGGTGTTCATCACTGCCTGGCAAGGATGAGTGCCTCAGTTCCCACTTGGCCTTCTCTGACACCACCACTGGAGGGATATTGGAATGCCCTGCTACAGCCTAACAAAGTAGAAGTCTTAGCTCCCTACTTTGCCTTTGCTGGCATAGGTGGGGGTGGGGTCACAGTTTTTTCTGCAGTATTTGGCTAGAGCAGAGTTCTCAGTGTTTTCTACCTTGCTAGTCTGTCCCTTTCCTGATCACTTAGAGAGCAGGCTCTTCTCGGGACCTTTTTGTTTGTGCCTTTCATGTTTCCAGGGTGCTGGCTTCTTCAGCTCTGTGATACATGAGCAAAAAATTAAAAACCCAGAGAACTCACCAGCATGTCATTCCTTGGGTCTGAGTTCTCATGCTGGTTTGCTTTCTTCTTTTTCTTTCAAAGTCTTCTTATGTTGGTTTTATATATAATGTCCAGGGTTTTTAGTTTTATTTAGTGGGAGGAATAAGGAAAGGTACCACTATTTGATCTTTCTGGAAAAAGAAGTCCCCCTCCTTAATTTATAAATATGTATCAGATCATGTTTCTGGCCTCCTTGCAAGTCTTAATGGCTGTTCACTACACTCCAAGCTAGTTACCCCATAGACTTATAAGATCCTGTGTTCTCCAACTCCATCCTATTTCTCTGGCATCTTTTATGCCTTTGCCCAGTCACTATGTTTCAGCCATACTGATTTCCTTTCTGTTTCTCAATCACCTCGAATTCTTTACTGCCACAGGGACTTCACACATGATTTTTTCTCCTTTGAATGAGCTATTTCTGGTCTTTGCCTGCTTGTATTCTTTTTTTTTTTCCCAAAATAAAGATTTTATTTATTTATTTATTTATTTATTTATTTATTTATTTATTTATTTGAGAGAGGGCGAGAGCTCGAGTGGGCGGAGTGAGAAGGAGAAAACCTCCAGCAGACTCTGTGCTCAGTGCAGAGCCCCATGCAGGGCTCGATCTCATGACCCTGAGATATGACCTGAGCCGAAATCAAGAGTCAGATGCTCAACCTACTGAGCCACCCAGGCGCCCCAGCTTGTATTCTTCTATCTCAAGATTGTGTCTGAAAGTCACCTAGTCAGAGAAGTCTTCTCTGATCACCTTAAGGAATTTCCTCTCTCCCTCACCCCAACAATTCTCTATCAATACACCTTGTACATTTCATATCAGTACTTTTGATTATTTGCATTTATGCATTTATATATATTTACATATTTTGTTTGTTTACTAGTATAGTGTACATTTCCCACTATGTTGTAACTCTATAGAGTCAGGAGCCATATCCATTATATTCACTAGTTTATCCATGGGGCTTAGCCCATTATACAATATACAATAGTATATTACATTGCCATCTTATAATCTAGAAAGATGTTTCTTTGTTTGTTTATTTGGTATACATTCATATTTCCATATTGTGGAATATACCCAAAATACTTTTGTATGTCTCTGTCATTTAGCTAGCTACATTATATAAAAAAATATCTATTGGTATGCTTTGGTTTATAGGATTTGAAGACAGCAATCATGTTTTACTCAATTTTGTAATACTGCTTAGCACAGGGTACATATAAGGAGTAGATACTCTTTTTGAAAAATCAATAAATGATAGCTTGCATTGTGCTACAAAGTATTTGAAACAGTGCTGAAGAAAAACTAAAGAAACCAAAATATTTTCACTCCTTAGATCACCTAGATCACCAAAATCACCAAATTTCCTTTCAAAATGAAGAAAATGTCAAAAATAGTGACAAACTTACATGCCTTTCTCTCTTTCTGGATACAGTTCCTGGTCAGTGAAAATAAGTGATTTGTTCCACTTGGTATGAGCATCCTTAATATGCCAATTTTCCTAGAAGTAAACAAAACCATTTCAGAAAAAAAGACAAAATCTATGGAGAAAGAAAGCAATCTTCCTTTCCTACTCCCCATCTTTGTCTGTAGTCTGTCAGTTATTAACCAAGGATTAAACAATTTGTCTTCTACCTTAAACACTTTTTACATTAAAAAAATATGATCTATAGGGATGTACCAGTTAACCTACAAAGAGGACTTCTGAACTTATCCAGCACCAATTTTGCCAGTTCACATTTGCCACTAGCAAGTAAGACTGCCAAATGTTCAGAGAAAAATGAACCTAACATATGAAGGAATTCCCTAAAATCTAGGTGTTTTGTAAAAAAATAATGTCAAAGCTCAGAAGAAAGGATTTAGAGATCAGGGTTTTGTTTCTATCCTGCAACATTAATACAGAGTTTTATTAACTATGGGGTTAACTTAGGGAGCCCAAATAATTAGGGAAATGCAATCTCTTCCAATTTGAAATTGGGGTGCTGCCGCTGCTGCTGCTTTACTAGGCCAGGGCTGGACTGGCCTAGTTTATCCAGGCAGACGTTCAGCAGAGCGAGTATTTATGGACTTCCTAGATCAGATCTGTGCCAAGTGGTCAAGTAATACCTAAGCAGCAGCATGGTGGCAGCTGCTAGGATGGCTAATCACACTCCTATAGATGTAGTTGAAAACAACCCCAAATGGATTTAGATAATTTATTATTTACACAGACAGCAATGCAAGATCAGCATGGTCTCAACTCCACATGCCGCTAGTCCCAGGATGATACCAAACCGGACAGGCCAAATGATAGATGATACCAGTGGTGGGTTGCTCTGTCTTCAAGGAGCAAACTCTAAACTACAGCTGAACAGTTCTTTAGTCTGAAGCTGTACTTGAAGCTGAGGCCTCACTGGAACTAGGGTGGCAAATGAGAAATGGACTTGGGATAGCTCCTCACAAGACTGTGTTGCCATGTTCCAGGGAAGATCACAGGGCATTCTGCCAAGACATCTGTTATACTGAGGTTGAGTCTTGTCTACATGGCCTATGTAGAGATGTGCAAAATCACCAGAATGCCACGGCAAAACTGTTCTACAATCTCATGAGAGAAGGATTTCAAAGCTAGCCTAGTTTAAAAGGTGCTGTCATTCTGTAAGTGGCAAAAATATAATCACGTAAGAGTAGGGATCATCATTAGTGTCCAGGATTTCATCAGAAAGAGTAATGCAAGTGATGGTGGTAAATTGGAGAATCATAACCATTCATTGTAGAGCCATCTGAATAAGATACACACATAGGTGGGCTATGAGGAAGGATAGAAGAAAAATTGACTCATGAAAAAGTTAATGCCCTATATATCAAGCCCCACCATTCTGACATCCAGTTCTTTCACAGATCTTAATAAGGCCATTAAGGATATCCAAACTCACAAAACCAGCAGATTCTTCTCAGTTCTTACTGGGACAACATCATTTTTGTGCTTCCCACAGTTTTCCATGCCTTTCTACTTGAAATTCTTTTCTCACTGGCCTATCATATCACTGCATTCTCTTGGTTCTTGCCATAATTCACTGATTTTCTTTTTCTTCTGTGGGCCTCCTTCATGGGCATCTCATACTCTCCCTATCTCATTTATGTTGTTTTAGTAGTGACTTTCAAATCTTTCTCTTCAGTTCAAACTGAGTTTCACAATTGTATATGTGAATTCAGAAATTGTCTACTGGAAATCCCTTCTTGGCTGTCCACAGGCCTCTCATGTTTAGAATGTCCAATAAAGAACTAATATTTCAGATTACTTCTGCCTCCCAAATCTGCTGCTTCTATTTTATTTTAGGTGGAGAAGAAATAATTTATTCAGTCACCCAAGCTAGAATCTTTTTTTTTTTTTTTTTTTTAAAGATTTTATTTATTTATTTGACAGAGAGAGACACAGCGAGAGAGGGAACACAAGCAGGGGGAGTGGGAGAGGGAGAAGCAGGCCTCCCGCGGAGCAGGGAGCCCGATGCGGGGCTCGATCCCAGGACCCTGGGATCATGACCTGAGCCGAAGGCAGACGCTTAACGACTGAGCCACCCAGGCGCCCCCCCAAGCTAGAATCTTGGGAGTCATTTTTGATATTGCTCTTTTCCTAACCTCTTGTTTCTAATCAATCACCAAGCCCTGAATATTTATTAAATCCAGCCCCTTCTCTCCATCTGCACCTCTACTATTCTATTTCTGTCCCAAGACATCTATTCACTAGTCTATTGCCACATCCTCCAAATTGAACCCCCCATATTGTTCCTCTCAAATCTATGCTCTCCATGGCTTCCAGTCAATATAAAACATAAATATATAAATATGAGCAGTTCATTCCTGAAAATTCTTAGATGGTTCTATCTTTTTAAGTTATATATTAGTTTGAGTTTTTCCCCCTGATCTGGTTATTGTCTACCCCTCCCACTCTATCTACTGTCCCCTCTTGCTTTGCTTTTCAAATTTAGCCTTCCAGGTACCTCTACATAGTGCTCTGTAACTTTGTGCACACTGTCCTGCCTATAAGGTCTTTCCTGCATTTGTTTGGCTGCCATACTTTAAGACCTACAAGAGTCATTACCTCCTCCAAATAGTCTTCCCCTCAGTAATTAGGTACTCCTCTGCACAGAGTACTGGGCACATCTATCATTGCACTTATCACAATATCTTATTAAATTAACAGTGAATGTTTCTACTCCCCCTACCAGTCTATGAGAATCTTGGGTTATCAAACTAATTTTTCTAATCAAAGGATACAACTTAGGCCAGCATATTGATAGTGTTCAAAAAATTTTTGTTGAATACTTTTATATGCTCTTAATTAATGGCTCCAAAGTGCACCAGAAACTTCCCTGATGGGCTAGGGCTTAATGTGTTTAAAACAAAACAAAACAAAACAAAACAAAACAAAAACCTAGGTCTCCTAATCTAGGTGGGATCTGGGATTTTTATTAGACTATGATTAGTACAGCAGGGAAAACCTGGAAAGAGTCCTTAAAAAACCCTATTGGGATAACCTCAACTCAAGCCATTTTCTCTTTACCCAGAGATGATTGCTATGAATCTTGGTCTGCAAAGGACATGGCTTGATTTAATACAGTTTACCCTAGAGGCAGAACAGCAAAGAAAGAATTCTACTAATTTTATTATAGTCTCTGGGTGCTTCTCCCTGATAATCTAAAGGGAGGTTTGGCCCAGAGCAGCATGCTTATGGCCCCATTTACGTTTAAAGGTCTCTTCCTACTTGATTCTCTGACTATAGGAGGCATGTATAGATTTGTTATCTGGTGGTTAGTCATATCAGAGGCTTTGGTTCTTTACTCATAGCTGTTAGTTGAATTGCACTGCAAAAAAAAAAAAGAAAAAGAAAAAAGAAAGAAAACATTGTTCCAGAAATTTGCTGAGCCTTCTTTGGAGCAAGTTTCATACACTGTTCTTGAGAATAACTTGTATTTTGTTTTATCACTACCAGTCTTATCAGAATTGCCTAGCTAATTTTTCTGATCAAGGTATACAACTTGTGCCAGCATAGAACACCTGCTTTTGAAATTACAGTTAAAGGTCTGGGCAAAACTAAGTGAAAAAAAAGAGGGCCCCTATCCTTTCCTGTAGTTTAGAACATGGACTACCCTCATACCTGTTCTGTGTTGTCACTTCTCACTCATTATTCAAAAATGAAAGATAAGAGAAAAAAGTAATTTATGATAAAATATTACTCATTAAAAAAGAAATCTAAAAATTAAAGACAGCTATAGCAAAAACACAATCTAAGCAATCTGGGAAAATCACCAGAAAGGGCTCTCCAAGACATTTTGTCTAAATGTTAAATAACTAAAAACATTAAAATATGTCTGGCATGGCAGTATGAGGTCTGACTCAGAGCTAGCTTCTTAGTAAAAAGAAATGGGAAGTGACGATTAACGCCCCTATAAAATAACCCAGGTTGGAAAATGTGGAGGTTAGAGATATTCAGCTTATAGCTTCAGAAGAAACATTCACATTATTTACTCCTGTCTATGGCCCTAAAGAGACAAAGACTTGAAGATCTTTCCAGGGGAAGTCTTCCTCCTTATCTGACTCAAACCCTAAGAGTCAGAACCATTAATCACCTAGATTCCAGTCAGAGGACCTTTGTAAATTCCACATCTCAAGTACTTAGACTCATTACATATACTATAAAATTTTAACTGAAAATATTTTGGTTAAGAGATTTTAATTTTTTATTGAAATCTAGAGGGAGAAGAATAAAAAGGCAAAACTATAACAATTTGATTAAAAGATCATTTAAAATGATCTGTTTGGATATGGTTGCAAACAACTCACAAGTTTTAGGTCTCCAATTAACTTAATTAACTTAGTATTTACCCTCTGCCTGCTTCCAAAAAGAATCCAAGTTTATTTCCAAAGAATCAGTTTGGCTTTTATATCTAGGCTGTTGAAGTATGTATGATTTATCATTTAGTACATTATGTTTTGATGTATATTTTATGACAACATACCTTTTCCCCTAATCTTTGGGATTGTGTTGTGCATTAAGAGAAGGCAAAGTTAGGCTGCCACAGTTTGTATGTAATCACGTTATATTATGCTTACAAACATGGGGCAAGACATTAACATTTTGAACAATAGGCAGAAGAATATAAAAGCTAGTTTATTTGGAAAGAAAAGTGCAGGAAAGATTTAGCTGAGTCATTTGGAGTTAAGAATAAAAGGGAGAAGGCAATGATGATTTAATCCTTTTTCTTCTCTCTCTATTAAGGATATTTGAGTGAACAGCCAGTTATGCTCTGAACTAATTAAATGAAATAATGAATGCCTATTACATTGTCAAAATCAAAGGCAAATTTTTTATTTTTTGTATGTTTTGTAGGGGAAACCTCAAAGAGGAGAACTTAGGTCAAATACCTAAGGCCTTGGTGAACTCTGTAAGATAGTATAAGTTCACACCAACATTTTGGTTCAGTCATTCTTAGCTCTTAGAATTATTTTAGTTATCTCAGGTGATTAGACTAAATAAATTCCTTACTGTAACATAAATAGGAGAATATGTACAACTTAGTTCTGATGTAGGGTCTTCCTTAAAATCCTCTCTCCTTGGGATCTTTTTCCTTCATCTTTTTTGGAACCAACCTTTTCATGAAATGTGTATCTTTTTAATTTTACTGTAGCCTGATCTTTGGCATTTGTTTTGATTGATATTTTATTCATCATGCAAACAATATCTCCCTCTAAACTTGCTTGCAATATATAGTCTGGTTGCTTGTCATGCAAGCCCAGTCAGAATATGCAGTTTGATGTTTCAGCCAAATTTGGTCACTTCCTACATTCTCACAGTTGCTGGTCAAACACTTATGGTGACTGTCAGACTCCTTTGTAGTTAACTTTCTGATGAGGCATACTGAGTTAACCTTCAATGGACCTTCCCCTTCCAAAGTACTGTAATATATAAATAAATAAAGTATTATTTTACAATACAGTTATAAATCTTCTTACTATTCTTCAAAGCTCATATTCTGAAATCACCTTAACTTGGTATTACAATCATGCATCATGACCTCAAATTACTTACCCTCTTTAAGCCTTATTTGTTAGTTTTTTCAACATTTATTGAATAATGTGTAATAGGCTCTGGGAATAGGAAGTGAATGTGATAGCCAAGGTTTTCTCATCTGTAAAATGTGGCTAATGACAGAGCTGTTTTGAGGATAAAATGTATGTAACATACTTAGCATATTGCTCAATAAATGTTCATTGTTATTAGCAGTATTATTTTGATAAAGTTACTTTTAACATCTCCCTATGACTGTAACCTCTAATGATTCACAATGGATTTGCATTCACTCCATTTCTGAACATAAAAGCTACTCTATAAATTACTGATGCTAAAAATTATCTTTTCTAGAAAAAAAACTGATGCAATGTTCTGAAACTCCTTTGGAATGTAAGCACCCCAAAATGCCTTTCACACCTGATTATCTAAAAATAACTGTAAATAACAACCATGATCTGGATTGTGAATGAAAGGTGCTATACCGGTACCCTCTGAACCTAGACTTGTCTAAATAATCTAAATTTCTTCCCGTGTACTTTTAAGTTTGGATTAGAAAAATAAACAAGCGTACACACGGGCCATCTTAAGTTTTACTTGGTTTGTATCACTAGCCTGAAAACATCAAAATATTTTAACTACTGTGGTTTTAGTTCTTTTTAGGTGTGGTGGGGGATGGATGTCAACTTAAGTCAGTTGAGAAAAGTGGCGATTCTGCAGCTCATGCGATACAACTAGAGAAAATGGGTCACTGCAGGAACTGGCAAAACCAATTGACATTATTGAAATGGTTACAGAAATAAAGAGTTTCTCTTTTACTCAACGGGGCTATTTAAGAATGACAAAGAGAAAACATCTTTAATGGTGGTAGAGAGTTTGCATCTATACTTTCTAGGATTATTTGTCATTTAAAGTGAAGTCTCATTAGGCAAACTGTCTTTTACTAAGGGTTGCACAGTAGCCTTTGTAAGATTTCTGAAGAACCTGAGTTTTGACGAATCATGTTTACAATTTATCACTCATTTTAAATCCCAGTGTTACCCCTCAGTTCTTATATAAGATTATCTGAAAACAAAAGGACATCCCCTAAAATAGGTACTGGACACTCTCGGCTTTGAAGGAGTTGGCCGAAAACCCGACACTGAGCCCTTCAAAAGGCACGTGGGGCCGAACCTGTCTCGGTATCACCACGACCAGCCCTGCAGGTTCCACGCCTGACTTCCCAGGCCCGGGGCACCACCAGGGGCGGTCCGACAGCACGGGCCCTCCTGCCTCGTCATCGCTGCGTTTCTGGCTGGCGGAGCCGGTTCTCATCCGCGGCATTCCACGCCCCCGTCTCCGCAGGCGTGCACGGGGCTCGGGAATCACCTCGGAAGCCCACTCAGCCGCAGGGAGGGCGTGAGCGAGGAAAGCCCGGGCTCTCGCTGTAACCCCCGCGCTCGGCGGTGTCCCCCTCCCCTTGACGGCGGGGCCATAGGTACCTCCTCAGCCGCCTGAGCATTCAGCGTTCAACTGGTGGGCGGCCCGTCCCGCAGCCGCCACGTCCGCTCAGAGGCCCCACCGAGCAGCCGGCAACTGACTGACTGACCCTGGGGCAGGGACTCGCGCCGACACCGCTGCGCACGCGCTCCTAGCGCGCCTCTATCCCGGGGCGGCTCGCCGGGCGGGAACGCGAATCTGTGAGCCACTCGCACCTGCCTGACTGACAGGCAGACCCCGGGCTCGGGCCTCGTGCCGGAGCGCGCACGCGCCTCGCGCGCCTGCCGTCGGCCCCGGGGGCGGGACCGCGCGGCGGCGAGCGGGCGGGGGGCTTGTGGCGCGCGCGCCCCGCACCCCAGGGCTGCGGAGAGATATTTTGGGTGGCAGGAGGCCCCTCGTCATTTCCGCCGGGCAGCTTGTGGTGCCCCGAGCTTCACTCCCGCGCGCGAGGCGAGCGGGCAAGTTGGTTGCGGGCTTGCGGCCGCGGCTTCTTTTCTCAGCTCCTCGACCCTCGGCAGTGCAAGCCGTGAACTGAAGCCCTGGAGGGACGGAGACCGGAGCGGAGCGGCGGAGCAACAGCTGCAGCAGCAGCCTCTGCGGGGAGCGTGCAGAGAGTCCGCACAGAGCCGCGACCCCAGAGCGTTTCTTTCCCCGTCGCCGCTCCCGCCGCTGCTGTTCGCCGTTTGCTAAGAGACATTGCAGCCGCGAGACCCGACACACAAAAGCCGTCTTCTTGCCACCCGCCCAGCGAGGCAGCGGCCAGCAAGGGACCCCACCTGAGGGCGGCTCGGGCTACCGAGTTCGTTTTGTTTCTGATCTCCGCGCCCCGCGCGGTAGCGACCCCGTGTCCATGGCTCTGATCATGGAACCCGTGAGCAAATGGTCTCCGAGTCAAGTAGTGGACTGGATGAAAGGTAATGCCCGCTGTGTAGAGGGCGAGGCGGTCCTGGGGCGCCGGGGTACTGGCGCGCGAGAGGGAAGGGGCGCCTACTGCGGCCGAGCCCGCCATCGGGGCTTCCACTGGCTGATCGTGGTGCGCTGGGGGGGAGGCGGAGGTCCTCCGGGGCAGGCTGGGGCTCGGGATCCCGATCTCCTATTGTCTTCAGTGGTGGCTCCCCAGTTAGAGAGGGGCGCGGAGAGCGCGGGTGTTGCCGGCGCTACCGGATAGGGTTAGAAGGCGGGCCGCGGAATCCCAGTACCTCTCGCCTCCTCCCCGCTCCTCACGGCGCCCCTAGGCCGAGAGGACGTGGCGACCCTTGTCTCTCCCCTCAGGGAGGAGCCCCCAGGGACCTGCTCCTTTGCTCGTTCCTTCCCGGGCCCCTTTGTTCCTGGGAAACCTAACGCCCCCTCGGTGGCCGCCCCTGCCAGGTGCCTTTTCCAGCGCCAACTCTCCCTACAACTTTTAAGCCCATATAATGGGGTCAGGACGCGGCTGCCCGGGTTTGAGTCGGGCGAACTCCCCCAGTTTGGGCTGAGGATGCTCGGGGGATGCGCTACTTTGGGGGAGAGAAAAACATGCTTCCCCTGGGACAGCATCCGCGCTGGTATCTGCGGGCTCCCTCCTGCGCAAACCCCTGTTCCCCCCACCCCCCACCCCCCACGTCCTTTGCCTCTTCCTCTTCTCGCTGGTCGAGGCTTTGGATCTCATGGTTTTTTATTGGGGGCTCGACGCCAGGTGTAAGGTGATGCGCATTCAAGTGCCCCCTCATTTCTTCCATCTTGAAGGCTCGCCCCTTTTTTTCCCTGGCAATTTCTAATAAGCACAGTTGTAGATACTCGCCCTCCTAGTCTCAAACGTGGGCTTTTTCTTTAGTCCCTGGGCTTTCCTGCCTCACTATCTCCCTCTATTGTCTGAGTTAAGGGGCTTGTAGAGGATTCCCCCCACCCCATGACCACTGCCTCCCCCATCACCAAGATTCCTAAGATTTGGGGAATGCCAACAGGGATGGATGGGATGAAATAAAGGATTCCTGGCCACGCTTGGGAGATGTTAGAGCTTTGCTTGTGGTTATTCCTAGGCACAAACTCTAGGTAGATTAGTCAGGAGCCAAAGGCTTATCATTTGTGAAAATGCGTGTTGCGGAGATGAGGGAGCCCCTTTTGGGGGCTTGCTTAGCAGGCAGACTTTCTAAGCTCCAGGTACTTTAGAACGAAAGGTGGGGTGATTGGAAGTGATTAAGAGTGATAGAGAGAAACTCAATTTTGTTTCCTCCTTTTCTGAACCTTTTCGGCCTCTTGCTTATTCTTACGGATTTTTCTTTATACATTTGCTTTCCTTTTATTCCCTTACTGGCCCCTTTATTTCTCATTTAATTAGTTTTTTTCTTTTCTAATATGTGAAAAGTGCTTCGTAACTGCAAATCACAGTACACATGAGAGTGTATTGAATTAAGTAGAATTAATTATCAACTGCTCCCCTGTGTGTGGTGCGTTGTGCTAAGGTGCCATGGGTGCCATGACTAAGACAAAGTCCTGCAGTGGCTCATTTTTTCTGTTTCTTCTCTTCATATTGGCTATTGAAATTACGCTTTCCTAGATTCCCACTAACCCCCACCCCCTTTGGATTGTCAGAAACAAACATCTGTCTTCTCTGTTTCTCAGTCATGGAAGAAAGAGCCAGGCGGTGCGCAAAAAGCAAGAATGCTTAATTAAAAAACCCTTTCTTTGAATTTGCGTAAAAGGTTACTTTGGTTTGAGTCTGTTACTGAAATACTCAACAGAAAGCTTTCTTGGCTCCATGGGAGTCTGATTACCTTCACAAATTCCCATGATGCTTGTAATGAGTGATGCATACTCCATCTTCTTCACCTCCACCCTCCCAGTATAATCTTGCAGTTTCTTCTTTCTCTACAGTTTAGGTCTACTGAAGCAAGTAGAACATACGACACATATATTCTGACACACATTATTAGATTTCCAGTATAGTAGTCCTTTAAAAATCTTTCCAGCCCTTTAAAAATCTCTCCAGCCTAAAATGCAGCATCTTTGAAGTTGAGCTAACATTGTTAGCTGTGATTTTAAATGATTGTTACGTGTAAGTTGAATAACTTATTTTCATACCTGTTGGTGATTCATGTTAGAGCTATTTGAAAAGATCAAGCAAGTAGCCAAGATAGAATTTGTATATTTTTGTACACATTAGAAGAGAAAAACTGATGTCATTATCTGGATATTTCAAATCCCAAACTGCTTACTGCTGAAATTTCTATAATCTTCATATAAATTTAATTTATGATAGTAACAGAAAACAAGATTTTAAAGAACAGTTGGACAAAATGAACATTTCCTCAACTTGTATTATACTGTTACCTTAATTAATTTTTCATCCCTACTCCTTTCCCCAAATAAACTTTACAAGTAAACACATTAGAAAGAAAAAAAAAACTTCTCACCCTTTCCTCAGATGCAGTAATGTTTAAAAGTCAACTAATTGAGGCTGTAGCTTTGGAATGGCCAAACTTCCTTTGGTGTTGTATAATGTATAGTGTTATAAAGGCAGTAACAAAGAATGAACAAGACTTTTGAACAACTGCAACATTGTGGGAGTTCTTCAAAGCATGCTCCTAATGTGACCGTTTCATCATCCTTAACATTTAAAGTATATAGCATATGCTTTCAGCTAGTCACAATCATAAATAGTTATAACTCTGTTTAGTAAGGTACATGCTTTATGCTCTTTCTAGGGTGTTTTTCTCTTCACTAAACAGAAAAGGAAACATTAAGCATATAAAAATAGCATGGCCATATATTTGTGCTTCCAGACAATTTATATAAGTGGTATAGAAATTCAGCAGAGAAGGAGATGAAGGAAAAAAAAGGGCTGATGAGATTATTAAGCTTTTTTAACATATATTCAAAACTGTTTATGAAGGACCATTTATACATTGCAATTCATTTTGATCTTTTTTACTAAAATGTATTTGAGGGAGGCAAATTTAAATTTATGTATTAATTATTAGTAAAGATATAAGGAAACACTTGCATTTTTTTCTCACCACCAACACCACTACTTGTAAAATCCAATACTCAATGAATTTTCTTCTAACAGTAAAAAATTGATGTGACACAGTGTCAGTGTTAGTTCCAATAAATATATGGACTCCTCATGAGTCAGTAAAATAAGCAGTTACATTCCAGATATCTTGATAGTACTTCAGGCTATTTGGAAATAATAGAACTTCAAAATTAATTTTATAAAAATATTTTTTGAGAAAATCAAATACACATCATTTAGCATTTGAAACAGCCTTTTTTTCAGTGAGAAATTGCATTCAATCCTCGTAGTTTTGACAAAATTATAAAATGTAAACCTTTTTAGAGTAAAAGCAAAGCCTTTATTAGAGAAAGCTGTAGGTAGAAAAGTAGGCCAATAACGGTTTCTGATTTTTGCTCAGTGTATTACTCTAAAATACATCATATCTCGGCTCTTACCTATTCACTTGCAGGGCCTATAGAAACACTTCATAATCTACAGTTGTTTGAGTTTACTTTTTTGCCCACTGAAATAAAGCAAAAATGTCTGAACACTTCAGGCCCCTATTATTAATTTCAGTATTAATTTTCCTTGTCCGTGTCACACCCAATAATTCCAGTTTTCTTCTCACAGTTTTTCCAACTTTGAAACTCCTCCAAAATATCCATATGACTAAAATAAAGTTATTTTCTGTGGCTAACTCCCTTCATGACATTTTTTCCAGTGATCTTTAATCCCTTCCCTGATCAAATAAAATGAATTATTATTTTCAGAGTCACCAACAGGCCCTGCTTTGCTGGTCTTCTCTTATGGTCTCTGTGACTTAGCTCTTTCTACCCATAGTATGAGTCCTAAAATCTAAATTTTTAAGATAGTCTTTTCTCAAACCATCCAACAATTAACTGCACTGCTCTTTTCTGTTTACTATAAACCATTTTCTTTGAAAACCATTCACTGACTTCTACTTTCTGTCCTGATGACTCAGCCATCTTGAGGATAGAAAATGAAATACATTATTTTAGGTACAAAAAAACAAAGATAAAGCCATCACTTCGCATACAACCCTACAAAAGAGGAAAATGCAGTTATGAAATAAGGTCTATTTATTATAAGAGTTAAATGCTACAGAGGAGAATGTATCTGATAAGATACAGAAATTTTGACAGGCACAGTGCTCTCTAATAGTTTTACCCCTTTCATAGGACCTAGAG